AGGAGCGGGACTACACCCGTCAGGACAGGAGCGGGGATGTCTGCGGGGGCGGGGCGGGGTGGGGCGGGGAGGTGGGGTTCTGTGGGGGGCGGGCGGAGTTTGGGTGGGGTGTGGAGCGGGGTGGGAGGCTTAGTGAGCTAACGACAGCACCTGCGGTGCCACGTGTTACCTCAGCTACTATAGCCTGTAAAGAAAACCACACCACCGTCCATATTCCAGCGTAATAACCAGACGAACCCAAGCCACGCGCGAATCTGCGCGAAGAGACGGGATGCCGGAAAGACTCCGCTCCAAAAAGATTGAAGCGTTCTATCCCCTGACCGTGCAACCACATATCCTTAAACAGCCCCAACCGAAAACGAAATCCCAATCCCGAAACCTGCTTGAGGCTTCTGTCGCATCACGAAGTTCGCGACACTAACAGCCCTTAAAAGCTTGCTAATAGCAGCTAATAGCCGCCGAGCAGTTAGCAGCTAACAGCAGCTATCGGAAGCTGTTAGCAGCTGCAAGCAATCTTTAGAAGCTAGCAGCTGTTAAAGGTTTTCCCTTGCAGATGTTGGAAATTACAGGGTTGAGGGGGTGAGTGTTGACGGGTGTAGGTTGTGCCTCCCTGATTTTTGTTCTGGTTTTACGTTGCAAGCACTGTGCTCTGAACGGTTGTCAGCCCCTACAACCCTAGTGATTGAGGTTTTGCATTTGGGGATTAGGGATGAAGTAGGATGTTCATGGTTTCTCTTGCCCCAATAGCACGGGGACAAAAGGAATATCAATCGGTCTTGACAGTTTCCATACTTTTTTTTGTCTGTTTGTGGTGAGGGCATAAGTTGACCCAGAAGTACGGGCCTTGATTAAGTGTAGTGGATTTTAAAGGGACTGGGGTTGGTTTTCAATAGGAATCTGTATCGGGTTTCGACAGACATTCAGAACTTCTCTTCAGGGCTTCATGGAGGTGAGGGGTGGGGGGGGTGCGTTCTGCGGGTAGCGTATTCTAAATAGGTTGCAAGTAGGGCAGTTACACCTTGCAAGACTATTTCACATCCGCTAAACCTTGAACCCCGAATTCCGAGAGCTGTTTTATTCTATTATGGGTTCGGTTGCAGATCGCAGGGATTTAAGCTGAGTATTCGGGATAATGGTGAGCCCGACAAGGGCAAGTCAAGACGACGGTTTTGACAGGCTGGGCCGTTTTGGTTCTGACGGTTCATGGGCACATGAGTAAGTATAAGCAAGGTAGCTTCATTCATTGCATTCCCGGCAACAGGTGTGCAGCGGTGTGCATAAACCTGCGAGTAGGGTTGTAATCATAATCCTTTTAGGACTTTCGGCGGGGTGTAGCAATGATGGGCTCCGCTTTACTCTGAAGGCCAAGACCGAGTGGCATGGAGGTAGTGGGATAGAGGTCCATGCGGTTAAGATGCCACGGCATGGAATCTTCCTTCACGGGCCATGCTAAGCGGGAGGAAGATTCAGAGGTTGTCTCAAGCAAGCTTCGGATCATCATGAGATACCGAGCAGCGCCTCGTAGCAGGTCTATCATATTGCTGAGAAGGGGCAATATAAAGAGCCTTACATGCAAGTGTCAATACGACCAGTAGCTATCAAAGGACCGTAACTATGCCGCTCCCATCTTTTGAAACCTCCGTATGGCTACTCTGCTTGCAACCCTAGCGTAAAGTCTGCCCGACTTCGCAGGGTCGGGTTGCTCATTCCCCGTTGGAGCATTTCACACCCCAGAAGCAAGGATGGGCCATTTCCAGAAGGGAGGGCACTGGATGCAGGCTGTTGAGCTCATGTGCCGGCTGCTTGGATTTAGCTGGGCTTGTCACTCTCACTTGCTGCTTTCGCCTCGCAACTCTGTTGACCCTACACCCCTAAACCTCTAACTCCTAAACCCTAAACCCCTAAATACTAAACCCTACACCTCTAAACCCTAAACCCTAAACCCCTAAACCCTAAACCCCTACACCCCTGAAGTCTAGCGTCGGAAGCTTAGGATGGTTTGGGCCCGGGTCATGGCCAACGAGCTGACTTTAAACACAGGCACAGCTCAGGAAGCACATCAAACCAGTGGGGTGTTTAGGGCGTCGGGATTTTGCGGTTTCAGGGGCTTTGGGTGGTTTCGGGATTTTAGGGTTTTAGGGGTTTCGGGTTTAGGGTTTACGGATCCTGATTTTAGGGTTTAGTGTTTGGGGGTTAAGGGCTTTGGGGAGTTTTGGGTTTAAGGGTTCAATTTGACAGGGCTATAGGGCTGAAGCCTTGCCACGCACGCCAGAAGTTCTCAAGCTACGCGGCAGTTTCTAAGCTACCGGCGCGGGCCTAAGCCAAAACAATGCTGACAGTATCCCTTCATCAGCTGCGTCTTTTATCCTTACAGTGCCGAGCAACAGCGTTACCGGTATAACACGGTCCTAAGCCCTAAATTAAACCATTACCTATAGGCGATCCCAGAACCCTATAAAGCCTAGAACGCAAGCCAGTGTACGCTACCGCAGCTCCGCCGTGTTAAGCAGGCATCAGCGCCTTCGGCAGCTGCGTGCTATGGCATCACGCGCTGTGTCTCCTCTCTTCCTTCCCAGCAGCCAAACTACGATCAGATGTCATCTCCTTTAATGCCGCTTAGTAGCTGAGGTTGTAAGCTTTGAGTTTTTGATTGATACACATATGTATAGATGTGTGTACATGTGCATATGTATATATATATATATATATACACCTTTATGTTTGCTTTTAGATGTATAGGTGTGTGCATATGTATAGAAAAAGAGAGATTGATATAACAAATGTATATATATATACATATATATATATATATTTATTTATATGTATACATATATAATTGAAAGTGTAGACATCCTGGGAGGCTTATGAACTGGGCAACTAAGGCCACCACCACTGCCTGCGAGAAGGGGACAGAATGGAGCAGGTCCTTCCATCTTCAATCGGATCTCCTGACCCGTCATATCCAACCCGATGTGATCAGCTTCTTAGCCATAGAGTCAGTATCAGTGACCTTTAACCTTCTTGGGTTTTCGGTCTACGGTTTACGGTTTAGGCTTTAGAGTAATAGAGCATCACGCCGTCGTAGAGACAGTAACCTTTGATTTTGTTGGGACATTTCCATCCCTACATGATCTTGTAAGGCGAACCATACATTTGATTATTATAGCATTATTCCCCAAACAGCTTTAGCTG